ATGTTCTTCTTTTATGGCCATCTGCATATGCCCCTGGTATACTAGGAATGTACTAGTTCTATAGTGTAATCAAACCCTGCTATTACACTTGATACCAAAAATGTTTGCTGTGTATAATAAATTCCTACCTTACCATCTGCAATGTAATGCAGTGTTTGCCATCCTTCAGTCCAGTTTTTGAATCTTGTGCTCACTTTAGCCTGTCCTTGTGTGATCTTTTGTTACCCATTATCTCCATAAATGTGTCGTGTTTCCGCAGAGGTCCCTTTGCACGCACACTATTGTAATAAGGAACAATTATTTGAATAGTTGTGGATCACTGTTACTTGCACCAGTCTGGCAATTCGTTAATTTTTTTTCCCTCCACAGAACTGCTGCTCACTGAATGCTGTTTGCTCTATAAACTCCCCTAGTGTTTACAAATTCAAAATTGTTGGCATTTTCTGAGATAATTCTTCCCCACATCTTAAACCATATCCATACTAAGCTCATGGTATCCACCCGCACGCACCCTCCCCCAACTTTTCGGTCATGATTGAGAACACAACTATCCAGCCCTCCCCCCGTGCCAAGGTGCTAGGTGTCATCCTTGACTCGGACCTCACCTTTCTTCCCCACATCCAATCCCTATCCAAATCCTGCCGTCTTCACCTTCGTAACATATCCAAAATACGCCACTTCCTCTCCAATGAAACCACAAAGCTGCTTATCCACTCCCTTGTTATCTCTCGTCTCGACTATTGTAACTCCCTCCTCATTGGCCTACCTCTACACAGATTTTCCCCCATTTAGTCTATCATGAATGCTGTTGCCAGAATTATCCACGTAACCAACCGCTCAGTGTCTGCACCCCCCTCTGCCAATCCCTGCACTGGCTTCCAATAGCATAAAGGATAAAATTCAAAATATTAACAACAACTTGCAAAGCCATCCACAACTCTGCCCCAGGTTACATCTCCAACCTTGTCTCAAAGTATCACCCTAACCGTCCCCCTACGCTCCTCCCAAGACCTCCTGCTCTTCAGCTCCCTCTTCAACTCCTCCCATGCTCGCCTCCAGTACTTCTCTAGAGTCTCCCCCCATTCTTTGGAACTCCTTACCTAAGACTCATCTCTTCAGGGAAGCCTATCCCAACACAGCCTAACCACTGAACCATCACGTTCTCAAACAATTCAACCCCACACAGCTACCTCCTCGTGTATCACTTGCCCCTCCCTTCTAGATTTTAAGCTTTCACAGGCAGGGCCATCCTTACCATCTTGTCTTGAATTGTATTATAATTGCAATGTAAAGCACTGCGCAAACTGTTTGCACTATATAAATCCTGTTGAACAGTTGAAAGCAGGACTGCATGATTTCGGTATCGGGGGTTGACCGATTATCGGATTTGCCAATAATCAGGACTGATATTTACAGATTTTCTAATTATCGGTGACTGATATTGCCGATAAATACTGTGCTAATTTGAGCCCTGTTCCAATATTTTGAAAGCAGCCGTTGGCCACTGTCAGAATGCAAAGAAGAAAAAACATCAGATAGCAGGGGAAGCATTAGCTACCATGCTATCTCCTAATTCCCCTATATGATTTTTATAATTTTTGGTTTTGACAGCGTCTGTTTTCCTTCAGGTCCTCCTCTGCTGATTGACAGCAGCAGTGGGCAGGTGCAATAGCCAGCCTGCTATTGTAATTTGCAATAGCAGCTTAGCTATTCATTTCCATGCCATCTGTTGTTTTGTTGTACCGATACCCATTATTGGCCACGTTCCATGTACATGATATCAGTTATCGGCCTGAAATGTGGCCAATAATGGGTATTGGTACCAAAAAATCCATATCGGTTGATCCCTAATTAGTGATTGATTTGCAGAAACGTGATTTACTGTTTGACTATTTGCATTAATAATTTGTTGCGTCTAATAAAGTGGCCTCTGAGTTTCACCCTAAGGACTCTGTTATCGGTCTCTCGAACACTTTTTATGGGTTTCTAGGTCTGCATACCTGTCTTCACAAATCTGAGGTTTCCTCACTTTTCTCCTTTTTTGTTTTATATTATGAAGAGTATAACCAAATTGCATATTTTTTGGCAAGATAAAGTTAGTCACCAAAGGCACAAAGTTCAAAAATTTCAAAACTTTGATATGGAGTTATCACCTTTTCTAAGTTATAACTAGCCAGCAGGTGGTCCCAAACTCCGTCTGTACAAAAAATGTTTGTTATTTGTGACTGACCCTTCAATCTTTGTTGTTGTAATGTCTTTCATTTTGTTGGCAGGTTTCTTCAATGGGGATAACACCTTTCTTTGTAGAAAATGTCAGTGAGTTGCAGCTGTGTGCTATCAAGCAGGTTACTGCGGTATGAAAATTAATTTTTTCTTATAGCTCATTCATTGTTTCCACACCTTCTAACCTTAAAAAACAATGACCCTGGTTTCAGACGCATCCTAACATTTCATCCTAGGCAGTAGTTTATTTAGGGCACAATATAATGTATGCCATATATACAGAATGGCCAACTTATTAATTATCATTACCTCTATTGATTTTGCCCACATTAAGTTTAGTTTTTTCATATATAACTTTGTATTTTCATTTTCTTAAAGCTGAGAAATAGACATGCTTCTGCTTGTAGATATTGAAATGGTTGCATCGTTATCTGTCATTACAACAGCAAAAAGTTTCCCAGCTCACTCACCAGCCAGCATGCAAAAAAAAACCTGTCTAACCGCTTTGGTTAAAAACAGAGGTTTGGATACAGCAGAAAATTTTCTGCAGAAAATGTGAAAGCCGCACAGCCGCGTCAAGGTACCTCCATATAGTGCGGTCCTAACTCTAAACTATGAGAGTCTCCATCTTGGAGCACATGTAGCAAAAGATACAATTGGGTGCAGGTTTGTCAGGAGGAAGCCCAATTTTATCTTTTGCTACATGTGCTCCAAGATGGAGACTCTACTAGTTTACAGTTAGGACCGCACTATACGGAGGGGCGTGACGCGGCTGTGCGGCTTTCACATTGTCTGCAGAACACGTGTATCCAAACCTCTGTTTTTAACCTTAGCGGTGAGACAAGTTTTTTTGCATGCTGGCTGGTGAGTGTGCTGGGAAACGTTTTGCTGTTGTACTGTATAAAGCCCTTCCATGTGCACCTTGCTGTAAAGCTGGTGATAAGTTGATGAATGCGTTTGCCATTTGTTTTGCTTTATCTGTCATTAGACTCATGCCACGGTTTCCTTACACTCTGTTCTTTACAGGTATTTTCCAGGTACGAGAAACACAGGCAGCTTATTCTGGAGGAACTCTTCACCTCGCTTGCTAGGCTACCAACAAGTAAAAGAAGCTTGCGTAATTTTAGGTATTCTATTTCTTTTATGGAAACCTAAGTCACCTACTTTGTTTAATGTTTGTGCCACATGTTAGATTGTACAAATTTTAGCTCAAATATTTGCAAGTGTTTGCAATCACTGGTATTGTGCACTCACCGGCCACTTTGTTAGGTACACCTGTTCAATTGCTTGGTGACACAAATTGCTAGTCAGCCAATCAAATGGCAGCATTTCAATGCATTTAGGCATCTAGACGTGGTGACGACGACTTGCTGAAGTTCAAACCGAGCATCAGAATGGGGAAGAAAGGGGATTTAAGTGACTTTGAACGTGGCATGGTTGTTGGTGCCAGACGGGTTAGTCTGAGTATTTCATAAACTTCTGATCTACTGGGATTTTCACGCACAACCATCTCTCGGGTTTACAGAGAATGGTCAGAAAAAGAAAATATCCAGTGAGTGGCAGTTGTGTGGACAAAAATGCCTTGTTGATGTCAGAGAAGAATGGGCAGACTTGTTCGAGATGATAAAAAGGCAACAATAACTCAAAAAAACACTTGTTACACCCAAGGTATGCAGAATACCATCTCTGAATGCACAACACATTGAACCTTGAATCAGATGGGGTGCAGCAGCAGAAGACCACACTGAGTACCACTCCTGTCAGCTAAGAACAGGAAACAGAGGCTACAATTAGCACAGGCTCACCAAAATTGTAATATAGCAGACTGGAAAAACGTTGCCTGTTCTGATGAGTCTCTATTTCAGCTGCGGCATTCAGATGGTAGGGTCAGAATTTGATGTAAACAACATGAAAGCATGGATCCAGCCTGCCTTGTATCAATGTTTCAGTCTGGTGGTGTAATGGTGTGGGGGATATTGCTTGGCACACTTTGGTCCCTTAGTACCAACTGAGCATCGTTTAAACGCCCCGACCTTCCTGAGTATTATTGCTGACCATGTCCATCCCTTTATGACCACAGTGTACCCATCTTCTGATGTCTACTACCAGCAGGATAATGCGCAGTCATGTTGTACCATTTTGTACTGGGAAATTGCAGTAATCCAGTTACTAGAGGAAAAGCAAAAAAAAACACCGGTGCCAGCACCCGCGACTTGTATGCACACAAACTAGTAACACTAGTGATGCAGCTCCCACTGGTCAGGGCAACCGACAAACTGGGAAACATAAAGCAAAAAGGAGGGCCTCCATAATGTAAAACAGTATTTAATAAAAAGAAGGCACACAGCTAGGGCTGTACTTAGAAACAACTGTAGAACACAGGCATGTAACAAGGATGGGGCATGTAAAACGAAATCACGAACAAAGACGAGCTCGAGTATTGATGTTAAACCACAGTCGTCTACCCCCAAGTATTCCACGGGTTAACATGTTTCAGAGGCAACGCCCCCTTCATCAGAACCCAGCTCGTCTCGTCTTTTGCTTTATGTAATCCAGTTACTGTGTACAGCAACTTTACTTTTGCCACAAAACACATCTGTTAAGCTTTATTGTCTTGCCTGGAAAACTGACTTTACCGCTGTTGTGTTACAGCTGAAGTTTTATTCTGCTTTGGAATTGTATTTGCCTAGAGCCCAAAAGTATTGCAGAGTTGTAGCATTCAGAGTCTACCTCTGCAGTATAATGCACAGTGACATCACTTCCTGGAACCAACGCTGTCTTTGGTGGTTGAGCAACTAAAGCCATGGCTGTGACAGGTCCTAGTTGTTCTGGCAGTTCTACTTCAATTGGTAGTATCTTCCTGCACTGTATTCCCCTATATGTCTGTATAAGAACAGTTTTGTAAATACTCTTACAAAAATCTTTGCCTTAACCTTCTCTTGTGGCAGCATGTGCTCTGCTTATTACTTTAACATTGACTCTATCCACAACCAGGTTAAACAGCAGTGACGATGATGGGGAAGCTATGTACATTCAGATGGTGACAGCACTAGTCTTGCAGTTAATACAGTGTGTGGTCCACCTACCATCAGATAGAGATCACGCAGAGGAAGAGTGCAACAAGAAGGTAGGACTTTCCATCTTGAAATTCTGTTCCATGTAGTTTTTAAAGTGTATAACATGGGGTTAGTAATTCTTATGTCTCTTATCTTTCCAGGTTGACCAGGATGTTTTCATCACCAACTCATATGAAACAGCCATGAGGACCGCTCAAAACTTTCTTTCTATTTTCCTCAAAAAGTTGGTAGACCTTTTCATTTTATTGCATACATTTTGCCTTCATGTCAATTATTTGGTTTTTGATGTATTCACAATGTTGTTTCTTAGATGTGGGAGCAAGCAAGGGGAGGAGGATTACAGGCCGCTGTTCGAGAACTTTGTACAGGACCTTCTCTCTACTGTGAACAAACCCGAGTGGCCAGCAGCTGAACTCTTGCTTAGCTTGTTGGGAAGATTGTTGGTAGGACTTCTTTTTTTAAAAAAATTATACGGCTTGTTTATTGGTCACATTTGGTTAAGCCGATGTAAATTGGTTAAGCCGATGTAAATTGGTTAAAGAGGGTTATTCCCCTGTTTTGCACTTGTGTAAATTCTCATAGAAGAAACCTCGTATTGTAGGTTCTCACAGGTCTGCTGTTACAGAGTCCACCATCGCCACCTGCTGGTATTATCTGCTAACCCCGTGGTTCTGTTATCTCAGACATATAACCAAACAATAAATTTGTTTCATTTCGGATCCATTCAGATTTTTATTTCTTTCATTTTTTGGATCTGAAATTTGATTCTGTTCTTTTATTCAGATTTCTGATCTGTCCAGATTTTCAATTTGGAACTAAGTCACATGACCGTGCCTGTAATGCAACCCCCAACAGCCCCAAAAAAATCGGATTGGCCAAAGGACAGTCACATGTCTGAATTTAGTTTTGAACGAAATTTGGACGGATAACAATTTTCGTTAAACGAGCATTTGGATTAGCTCGCATGCGGACGCGTTAGAATTCTGATGCATCCGGATGTCCGAATTTAACAAAGTTCGTAATATCCATTCAGAATTAAATGAAAATTTAATGTCTATTATCTCTGTTACTGCCCACAGTTTCATGTAATAGTGTGTGGTCACTTCTGGTCTTTTCAGCTGTGTTTACAACACTCTTCATGCACACTTAATTTTTGTCTGTTTTTAGGTTCATCAGTTTAGCAACAAATCAACAGAGATGGCACTTCGTGTGGCTTCCTTAGATTACTTGGGTACTGTGGCTGCGCGACTCAGGAAGGATGCAGTTACCAGCAAAATGGACCAAGGATCAATAGATAGGATCCTCAAACAGGTACAGAAGGGATGTGTCTGCCATATACGTATCCTTGCTATATTCCTTACTACTTTTGCACTGTTGTGATATTTAATTGACAAATGGAAATATCAAATTATTCCAGCTCAAAAACAACCATGTACTGCCAAATAAAAAACTGATCATATTTCCCAGTTGTACAATGTATTATGTTTTGCTGTAATAGTAGTAATACAAAACAATATTACAAACAAAATCTAAAAACTTGATTTGAGGAGAAGATCGTAAGGCACCATCAGCTTTTATAACTGGCTGGGGTCTATTGCAATACTGTCCAACTTCTGTCACCAGTTTATACAAGAGCAATTTTAATGAATACATGGCTGATATTTGTGGGCTCCTATACCTTGAGATAATGTTGTGAAACTGATGTTTTTTTGCCGCATTAAAGTTCATCTTCATGTAATGAAGATTCTATTCATGCTTCTCTAGTTTTGGACACAGCAGGGTAAGGGTTAAACCATTGCCAGGTTCTTTTCATGTTTTGCCCCTTTTTGGAGGCTTCACTCTCACTGTCAGTCCCACTGACCAGTATCAACAGGACAGAGAATGAATCAAGTTCTATAGTTTTACAGTTCTTTCAAATTGGGAAATAGGAATAGAAGAATTTGGCAAGATTAACTTCCTTTTGTTTCTGGAACAGGAACTGACAAAAGCTCCAAAATTATTATTCTTAAAATGGGAACTTCACCCTTTTTCTTTTTCTATAGACGATAAGAAAGGAGAAGAACCAGTGTCTTATCTGTATTACCACCTACTAAATCCACCAAAAATACCATTTGACATTTCCACTTCGTTAATATGCGCATGGTTGGGTTGGTTGATTCCTGAACTCTTCATTATAATGTGTTTACTTATCTGGGATTTAAAAAAAGATTTAACCACCTCACACCCGGCCGTTCTAATTAAACGGCCCGGACGGTGGCTTCTTGGCGTTTTTAAACGTCCTTGCATCTCCGCTCATGCGTGCCGTATCGGGAAATCTGCTTGAATTGTAAAGAGCCGTTGATGGCTGTTTACATACAACCATTCCGGCGGCTGTAAAGCCATAATCTCTTGTTTTATGCATGTGGGTGTGCAGCCCCCACACCGCCGCCGATCCCAAGCTTCTCTGTGCCCGGTGCGAGCCCAGGACTGGCTAAGTGGCTTTAGTCACCGGAGTTCAGAGGGAGATCAGCACACGATCTCCCTCTGATCTCCCCGCCGGTCTCTGAATGCAAGAAGTGATGTATATTACATCACTTCCACATTCAGCTGTCATTCTTCAGCTACAGGACCTGGAGAGAAGCTGAAGCAGATCTCTGCTTCAGTTATTTAAAGTTCCCCGCCCCCCATACACACACAAACATGCGTCCGGTGTGCCTACATGCGAAAATGATGATTGCGCTTCACATGTTGTGAGCAATCATTTTAGGGCCACCAATCACTGTTAACTCTAAACTGATGAGTGGTAAAAGCTTTTAAAGTGTTGCCTATGGCCAATTTTAGATATGGTAGTTTTTGCGATTTCGCGGGCACGCATCATTTTAAAGCTTGACATGTTTGGTGTCTGTTTACCCAACGTGACCCCGGCTTTTATATTTTATCAAAAATGTAGGTAATGTTTCATAACCTAGGGAAAAAATGATTTTTTTTCAAGATTTTTGGTACATTTTTCATTGTATAGTAAAAAATAAAAACCCCAGAGCTGATTAAATACCACCAAAAGAAAGCTCTATCTGTCCCCCAAAAATGGTACAAAATTAACTTCAGTACTGCAGCACTGAATACTAAAAAATGGCCTGGACAGGAAGGGGGTTAAACAACCCTTGTCATCAATGGTTAAACGGAAAAAAAAATTACAGTGGAAATTTAGGAAAGTATTAAATCTTAAAGCCCATTTTCTAGAGGGTCACCGCTGTCTTAAATGTACTTATAAAATGTCATTCAGCTGGTCACATTCACAAGCCTCTAGGGCAGCTGAATGCTGAGATGGTGGAACCCTCAGATTTCCCACATGTATCAATTTAAGGAGTCTCCTTTTTCCTGATGAGCTCCTATGCCTTTTACATGCGTCACAGGCATCACACTTCCTCACCACAACATACTTCAGAGACTTGTGGGGTTTCTTATTCCTAATCCATGTCAGTAGGATTTCCATTATCTACTTATTCCCTGAGGGGTTTTTGACCATATTTCATTATATATTGCTTTTGTTATTTTCTGCAGGTTCCTGAAGGGGAAGATGAGATCCAACAGCTCCAAAAGGCTCTGTTAGATTATCTAGAGGAGAACACCGAGACCGATCCATCACTAGTGGTAAGTCTATCTTTGTGTCCAGATATCAATAGGGACATCTTATGCCTCCATGAAGAGATGTAGCGTTAAGGTAAACACACATTCTGTTGTCTCCTCCTTCAGTTTTCTCGGAAGTTCTATATAGCACAGTGGTTCCGTGACACTACAATGGAGACAGAGAAAGCCATGAAATCCCAGAAGGATGAAGACTCTGATGGAGCACATCATGCAAAAGATGTCGAATCCACGGGAGATATAATGCAGAGAGCGGAAAAAAGGAAAAAGTTCCTCCGTAGCATCATTAAAACACCACCATCACAGTTTAGCACTTTGAAGTAAGGACCAAATAGAAGTTGGCTTTCACTGGATTTGTTTTGCTTCAGCACTGTAACACATTCATCCCTCTCTTACAGGTCAAATTCTGACATAGTCGACTACGATGATGCTTGTTTGATTGTGCGCTATTTGGCCTCTATGAGGCCGTTTGCCCAGAGCTTTGATATTTATTTGACCCAGGTAAATATACTAAATCCTACTCTAATCATTTGGTTGTTCATTTAGTGATCTGGGGAACGCTTAGTGAGCATATGCTTTGCCCACAAGTTTGCTTTAATTGATACCTTGCATTTAGATACCTTCCTCAGAGACTGTAACATACAGGGGTACAGGTACTCTTAAAAACAAGATCACACAGGGATTCGTATACAACTTGATGGACCTGTGTCTTTCTTCAACCTCAAATACTATGCAGCTATGATACTTATGTTGGTAAAATTAAATGTTTGTAGTAAAAATGAACTTCTGTCTATTGTAGGAACAGATATTTTTAAATTTCTTTTTAATATGTGAAGATTTTGAAATCTCTAAGGCCCCATCCACACAGGAATCGGCCGGCACGTACAGCTCCGTGCTGTGTGCACGGCCGTATCGGGCAGCTCCTGGGAAGGACACCCCGTCCTTCTCTATGGGACTACGCGGCCATACGCCCCCCTACGCTCACCTAAAGTGCGGGTGCCTGTTTCCAGGCTCGGACGCAGACAGGATCCATCCAGTCCGCGTACGATTACGCTCACCCTCACGGACGTCCACTTGAGGTGAGCGTAGGGGGGCGTACGGCCTGTGTGAATGGGGCCTAAAGGAACCAATTATGTATTCCCTTTTCTTTATAATAGAAAAGGAATAAATATTTTCTCTAGGTTCAGAGCCCATGGAGATTGTTGTCTGCACTACATGGCTTGAAGCGTTTGTAGTGGAGGTTTTTTCTAAAACAACACACTTGGCTTGTTTAAAGTTTATAAAATTAGGGGGTTCAAACAACTGATAAAACATTCCTTTGGCTGTCTTCAAAATCTCGCATTGCTAAAGTCACTTCCAGCTTTTCCCAGAGAACTGTTACCAGGGGCAAACTGCTGGTGTTCAACTGTGTACATTTGATTTATTGAAGCACTGCTGACATTGTTGGAGGCATTGCTCAATTCAGATTTTATAGTGCAACACCTTACATTTGAGTTTTTTCTTAATACTTATTACTCAGGTTTTACATTTGGTATCCTTGCTTGCTTTGACATTAAGGGGTGCTTACATGCTTTTTCAGATTCTGCGGGTACTTGGGGAGAATGCAATTGCAGTCCGAACGAAAGCCATGAAGTGTTTGTCTGAGGTGGTAGCTGTGGATCCAAGCATCCTTGCCAGGGTAAGTTCTGCATCCTGTGGTCCTGAAAAGTAGTGCTTGCTCATTCAGTGCTGTAAGTGACGCATGTGTTTACCTCCAACAGCTGGATATGCAGAGAGGTGTGCATGGGAGGCTGATGGACAATTCGACCAGTGTGAGAGAAGCAGCTGTGGAGTTACTGGGACGCTTCGTACTGTGTAGACCTCAGCTGGCCGAGCAGTATTATGATATGCTCATTGAGAGGATTCTGGTGAGTGATAATGTCCTGTGGAGCTGTGTAGGTCTTGTGCATTTATCTGCTGTGCTGTATACATCATTTTTAATCTACACTTCTTTGTTGAGAGGAACTTTGACATTTATAACAGTTCTTTTTGCTTTAATAATTACCATGGACTTTGCTTGCATTGTATTTTCAATAATTAATCCTTTTAAAATAAAAACAATTCTTTAGTGATGATAGTTATTGTCCCTGAGAGAAAATGACATTTCATTTAATTTATTTATATTGTCAAAACTTGGTGTACATGTTGGATATAAGATCAGATTTAGCTTACTGTAATGCTAAAGTGCAGGCACTGCGTACTGCCAGTACTCTGTGAAAAACTTCACGTAATCCCTGTGTGGCCCCTGTTTTCCATGCTCGGGCTGTAAAAGAGACTTAGCTTTTTGTCCAAGGCACCTACTATATCCAGCCCCTCCCACCATCTCAGTCCAGTGGCAGAGCCCCTACTGACTAATGAGGTTTGGCATTTGCCAGTTGAATGATGGCAAGGTTAGTTCCAGTTAGTTCATTTTATAAGCTAATGACTTCCCTTTTCTCCCATTTTACAGGACACTGGTATTAGTGTAAGAAAGAGGGTGATAAAGATCTTGCGGGATATCTGCTTGGAACAACCAACGTTTCCAAAAATCACAGAGATGTGTGTAAAGATGATCCGCAGAGTCAACGATGAAGAAGGCATTAAGGTAAAGCTTGAGAAAGTGTGTGTGTGTGTCCCCCAATTATGTATGATCATGAACATCTCCACAGTCTGTTTTTGCTACAAGCATTGCCTGCTAAGGTCAACTACTGCTGTGGTCTGTGGTTCCTTCCGCAGGCCCCCATGTCACTACAGTGTCTTGTATTGACATAGGTGGCCAGTGGATGGAATCAAAGTGCAGTAGGGGCCTCCAGCATCCGACATTTTCAGAAGTGTCAAATTTAGAATATTTTTCAGCAATATTATTTCTTTAACACCATAGTTTGTGCTACTGGCAGTCGGGTAGTTGGGTTATCATTGTTTGCTTTGCAGGGTGGTCTTTACTATTAAAAATGGTCGACAGGATTGCTTTAACATTATGGTATGACATTCATCACTGTCCGCCTTTTCTTTTCTTTCTCTTTTTTTTGTTTTTAGAAACTAGTAAATGAAACATTCCAGAAACTCTGGTTCACTCCAACCCCTCAAAATGATAAGACAGCAATGACCAGAAAGATCCTCAACATAACAGATGTGGTGGGTGAAGGTTTCTTTTTCTTTTTGAAAAGTGTGTTTCCTTATAGAAGTATACATTTGATGATGTGATTTCTGGTAATCCTTGTGCAGGTTGCAGCTTGCAAGGACACTGGCTATGACTGGTTTGAGCAGCTACTTCAAAATGTGAGTATAAATGATCTCTGTTCTCAATATTTAGCATTGCCTATGTGGGCACTGCATGATTAATGGGTCTTCTTGTGTTCCTCAGCTTTTAAAAACAGAGGAGGACGCCACGTACAAACCTGTGAAAAAAGCGTGTACACAGCTGGTTGACAATTTGGTAGAGCACATACTAAAGTATGAGGAGTCCATGACAGGTACAATTTTGCTTTTTTACTCTCCGTTTAGCTTTGTTTTACAGGAGGATGTTTACCCACAGAACGTAACTTTTTTTTTTTCTTTTTTTTTTTCTGTGTGTTGCAGACTCTGACAACAAGGGTGTGAACTCGGGTCGGTTGGTTGCTTGTATTACCACTCTGTTCTTATTCAGCAAAATAAGGCCTCAGCTAATGGTAAAACACGCCATGACCATGCAGCCATACCTTACCACTAAATGTAGTGTAAGTAATTCAAATTTGTGTTGCTTTTATTCAGAGATTTTCTTTTTTATTTCATGCTATGTTCTTGATTAACACATGAGGCTGTAGTACACATGCATTTAAGTTATATTGTGGTCAATCAAGCATGTCATGATTTGATTGTGACCGGGCTTCATAATAATGAAAAAAAGACAGCATTTGATCTGTGGGTTTGTTGACAGGAGTAATTGGTTGACTCACTTTATCTTTTAATCATAATATTCTTTTTTGTTTTACACCCCCACCCCCCCCATTTTTTTTCTGACATTAATGCTGTTAAAAGCTATTGCAAAAATAATGAGCTTATTGTATTACCTTACCTGAGCTAAATAATGACGGAGGGGAAATTGGCAAAGGCAATTGCAGGTGGCAGAACTTTTGTATCTTCCCCCATCTAGTGGTCATATTTGGCACTGCGCTATTTTTAAACTAACGTTGAAGCCAAGGCACATCGTCTTTCCATCGATAATCATTAACACTAATCAGTATGCCTTAACTTTATATGACTGCACTCCAGGCTGCATTTCTGATATCTGGCATGTAATCTTGGACTCAATTAGGGTAAAAGTTCTATTATGTTGTAGTGGTGGTACAACCATAAAATGGCATAGATTCTGCCACCAAGGCTCAGAGAGCACACGGAAAATGGAACTGTCCAGTAACATCAGTTCCACTTTGTCCCTCCCAAAATTTAATTTGTCCTATAGACATTAATGCAATAGGAGTCTGTTTAGTAATTTTAGTCAGTTGAGTCCCAGTCTGAAAACGGATTTTAATTTTCCCTCAAAGTCTCTTTTGATCAAATCCATCTCTACTTAGGTCTTATATTCCTTTTTCACAGGCTACAGTCTAAGCCTTATTTTTCTCTCTTATTCACCATTCTCAACAAGAACATACATACTTTGTTAAAATAAATATCCATCTATTGACATCAACTCATTTTATTCCTCAGACTCAGAATGATTTCGTGGTGATATGCAATGTTGCAAAAATCTTGGAACTAGTCGTGCCATTGATGGAGCACCCTAGCGAGACGTTCCTTGCTACGATGGAAGAAGATCTAATGAAGCTCATCATCAAATATGGCATGACTGTAAGATGCTTAACTGTCTTGTTTTTTTTCCTTTTTAAAGGGGTTGTTCACACCACCCTAAGTGCTTTCCGACCTGATTGTGGCCGAAAAGCATTGGATCGCATCACTGCCTGCTCACTTTGTTTTGGTGCTGGAGGGGGCATGGCGGTGGATTGAAGTCACTGGCACCGCAGCCACGCCCTCCGGCCGCAGTGCGATCAGTCACACCTGAACGAGTGGCACATCAATATCTGCGTTCTGGTCTGGTGCGGTCAGAAAAAAAAAGTGCATGCAGCATACATTTCAGTGGTAGCCTGGGCTCCCTGGTCTACAGAAATGCTGTTTAATGTGCTTGATTTTAAAGTAATCCTGTCAGCTCAAGAATATGCAGAGTTTATCTACACAGCTCCCAGGTATCATTCAAATTTAGGATCTCATAATTGTCCTGCTCCCTGATTTTTCCTTAGGCCAGCAAGGTCGCCTATTGTATTTGGCAGCCAAAATCAAGGCACTGGCGCAGGAGTGGTCATTCAAATATTGACCATGTAAGCTGTGATTGTTTATTTGCATATCGTAGTGTGGCTGGATTCGGGGGATACCTGGGCAATTAAATTATAAAAACAGCATACATACACCAAGAGGGACAAGGTAAAGTGTGCCCGAAGGTTTACTGTAAAGTGTATTTCCACTAGGGATGCACCGATACCGGTATTATGGTATCGAGTACCGATATTATTATTTTTTCAGTACTCACCGATACTGAGTACCATTCAGGAAGCCAGGTGGCGTGTAATGACTTGCCACCCGGCTTCCCGATTAGCCGGGAAGCTGCCCCCATGCTTCTCGTCACTATGTTACTAGAAAGCATGGAGCCGGCTTTCCGGCAAATCAGAAGCTGGGTAGCATGTAATGACGCGTTGCCCGGCTTCCTGATACAGCAAGTATCGGTCTAGGCATCGGAGCATTTAGGTAGTATGAGTACACACCCAAATACTCAGCATCAGCACCGATACTAGTATCGGTGCATCCCTAATTTCCACCAACCAAATTGGGATAATACCAACTTTATATTTTTGTTATCACAATACTTTAAAAAAATTAAAGATTGCTGCTTTCCTTTAACTTTTGTGATAGCTGAAGTTTTCTCCTGCTATGTAGCCTTAAAGTGGGGGGATGGGGAGTGGATGTTTACCAAAATTGTCTACAATGTGCTGGCAAATCTCATCTTCAGTTTTAAAATAGAATGGAACACCGTCGGTCCAGGGAGGGGGCTGTGGAGTTAATAATTATCACAGTTAACGCTGTCTGTCCTGTTTGACAGATCGCATCATCAGTTGTAAGCTAGATGTTATTGAGGGAAACTTTCTCTCTCCCAGCTTTGCATTGGGTACAGACTCACTTTAAGATTGTTCAGAGTAGCTTGCAGTCTTTCTAAAGGCCTGCTCCAAAGAAACATCTAAAAGATAAGACATATTTTAAAATGGGAACATATAAAGGGGGTTTCTCAAATTTGACTGAAAAAGTGGAAATACAGTATATGTCAAAGGATTCAGCGCTTATTCTTAATTCTTGCTACTACAGCCTGCTTAAAGTCAGTTGCAAGGGAAACCTGTTTTGCAGTTGAGGAGTTTTATGCACAGGGGCCCATCGGCCTCAAAGAATTGTTCAAATTGTTTTGTTAAAGCAGTATGTTCTGCTGGAGTTTAATAGGGAAGGGGGTGTATGGAAAAAAGATTGACAAGCCTCATTTATTCCAATACAAGGTTTTTCCATTCATCTCCCTCCAATGGTGACCACAAGCAGTTGCTACAGGAAGAAAGGATGTAAACGCACTGCTTCCAGAATGAAAGACTTGTGTCGTCACTGTGCTTTTTTTTTTTCCCCCCCTTCACCCCTTCTCGTCTTTCTCTCCATGGCTATCTATATAGTACAACTTCCTTCTATGTAACAGTTTTTTATTTTTAAGATTACATAAAGCTTCAGCTTTAATCTTTCTATGTGGATTATTGTGAACACTAATATCTGACTTCTGTAAAACTGGACGTCATACCAGACCTCCTATTCACTACAAGTTAACAATCGCATATGGCAGTGAATTGAAATAGAAATGCTGAGGTATCCAGAGCAGCCAATAGGGTTTAAGCTTTCAGATTGTCTGCAGATAAATAGCAGCTGAACTCTTTAGGCATCACCTGGACTTTCCTTTCTGCCAGTTTTCAACTCAATCCCATGATTTTCTCTGCAGTGTTTCTTATTCATTTTAAGTTTTCCTTTTGTCTATATGTTTGCATTTTTCTTGACCTTTTTTTATTTTTAAGTAACTTAAATATGCAAACCAATTTGCATCTCAATAGACTTATTTTAGTGCTTAGGAGTAAATCAGTATCACTATTTTAGTATGTTTGTATTATTTATTTTACATTAAACTCTGCTCTGTTTTTACTTCAGGTGGTACAGCATTGTGTGAGCTGCCTAGGGGCTGTCGTAAACAAAGCAACACAAAATTATAAGTTTGTCTGGGCCTGTTTTAATAGATATTATGGTAAGTTTTTTCTATTTTAGAATTTGACTTCAGCAAACCAAACACCAGGCTTCGGGCTGAGCAGGAGAAAACTAATCAATTCCCCCTTCCATGCTAAACAGCATGGATGGAGGAATCTCCATTGCCAGCTATTGTATTCAAACAGACCTGTAGCTGTCTGAACACATGAACAGTGACTGCACCTGGTAGGATGGAGTCACTATTTGGTCGATAATTTTTCACTTGACGAAGTCTGTTCGCAGGGCCACCAAGTGCTCGATTTTCGGACGATTCCTGAATCGGCTGAAATTTGAGCAGTGTATGGCCAGCTTAATACTTTTGAAAGTCTGCTCGCTTTTATAGTGCTTTGTTACGGAGTAGAACTCTTTGGTGCCCAGAATCTAGAAACTGCTTTTAGAGTAGGTAGATTTGGCAGATGGCTCCAAATCTAGTGGAAACAGATCTTTGTTGATTTTTCTTGTATACTGATATATAGCACTGTACCAAATAAAATCCTGTTGCCAGAATTGTTCATATACAGTATGTCCAAGTCCAGCAGTAAGAGGAATATACTCCCCACACACAAGCCTCTGCCAATCTTGCCTGAATAAGAAAAGTGTAGCTCCCAAGCTGCCATGCTTGCCTAAAATATGCAGCTGTGTAAATTATTAACTTAGGCTTTCATTGATAACACTTGGGCTCTGTTATATTTGCCACAGAAAATGTGGCAAAATATTAAACTGACACTAAATTCAAGAGTTAAATCTTAAAAAGGCATTCATATCATCTCTGAATTCATGCTGACACACACAGAGACCATGTGTCAGCATGAATTACTTGATACGTAGGGTACGTGATTACAGCGCCACTGTCTCGGTAATTACACAGAGCAGGCGAAGAACGGACGTTCTTTGTCTGCTCTAGGGGCTTTATGGTGAGCTACTATGCCGTGGTCACGGGTCCCCCAGAGGAGCGGACACGATTGCCGCCGCCGCTCGATTTAATACATGTGATCTAATTAGATCATTTGTATTAGACGAGCAGCGGCTCCCACTGTACATTTAGCTCTGCTTGTCAGGAGCAGGGCTGAATGTACAAAAAAAATTCCCCGTCGGGCGATAGGGATTCGCTACATAAGACGCACGCACATTTTCCCCCTCATTTTTTTGGGGGTGGGAGGGGGGTGCGTCTTGTGGAGCGAAAAATACGGTAATTCCTGAGTTTAGTGCCACTTTAAGGCCACATGCACATGGGACCAATGAATGCAGTGTGTGTTCCTGCAGCAAGAATCTGCAGATTCTTGCAGCAGGAATCATAGGTGGATCCATACAGCTTTCCACAAGCAGCAGGTAGTTTGCAGATCCATTTGCAGCCATTAGCCCTGTGTGCATGTGGCCTAAAGTGGAACACCAAACAACATATTTCTAGATAGTGTGGTGAAGTTAGAATATTTTAGGGTTTAGCTGTCTGTGGGGATCTCCTGTCTCGTTGATGGTGGTCACTGGGACAAGACGTCTGGTGGATTCTCCTCAAGGGGTATAAAGACAGCTGAAATATTGGCCTTTCGCCACTCAAGTCAATTTCTCTTTAAAAAGTTTTTATCGCTGTGTTTGTGTTGAAGACGTTTCCCCTTGTTTTTATTTCTTAAGGACTACTGTCATCATAATAGGAAGTGATTTCCCTGATGGTGAGACAGACGAAAATGTAAATAGGTTCTGAGCCTTTCTCACTCTAAAAAAAAAAAAATCTGAAGTTCCACATATGACTTTAAAAAGATTTCTCCCATCAGGAATACCCGGATACCTGCAATTTTCTTTTGCCAAGCACTTTAGGTCCTTAAGCCAAACCTGAACTTCTTAAGCAGTTGCATTCTAGCAAATAAAGCAAATAAAGTAAAGTAAAGTAAATAAAATGAAAATATTGGAATTGTGTTTTTTTTCTCCTAGGTGCACTTATGAAGTTAAAAACTGAACATCAGGAAGACCCAAACAGTACGGTCCTGACCACAAACAAATCGGCTCTCCTGCGATCACTTTTTACTGTTGGAGCACTTTGTCGCCATTTTGATTTTGATGAAGAGGACTTCAAGGGTAGCAGCAAAGTAAATGTTGCGGTTTGTAAAATTTTTTTTTTTTTTCTTTTGTTTGTCTTTTACTTTCTTTCATAGCTTTAAACACTTTATTACACATTTACACATACACTCTGTATGTACAACTCCCTTCAACTTTTGTTTTGTTTTTAAGACTAGAAATGTAATTTGTTTTCTATGTATGGATTTTCATGACAGGTTAACATAAAAGACAAGGTCCTGGAGCTGCTGTTGTATTTTACAAAGCATTCGGATGAAGAAGTGCAGACAAAAGCCATCATTGGTCTTGGTAAGAAAGATAATTCATTGTATTTCCTTTGCATGGAGAAGTGTTCCTTCTAGATGTGTATTGTGCTGTGACCTGTATAGCTGTTGTAAATCTGTAACTTTAGGCTTAGTCTATTAACCACCTTACTACCAAACCATTGACAAATAGCAATTAGGTAGTCACTTTTCTGGAGTGTTGTCCAACAGTAGGAGGGCATTCACCACTGATGACCAACATTTAAGGGGACACACACACACCATTGACCACCAAGCTTCAAAGAGGAACTCTTTAAACAGCATAAGGGGACACTAAATACTGACCTCTGAAATCTGAAAGCTTTTCTGTGTGTTACATAGTCCTGACCCTGCACTATATTGTACACTACCTGGATTTGGGTCAGTGTTATGATCTGTTGCTTCAGTTGGTCTGGTCGGGCTCAAATTGTGAAAGAGTGGTTCAGGGACCATGAGACATCATTGTCACACACGGATTGGCCACCACAGAGTCCAGACCTTAACCCCTTTGAGAATCTTTGGGATGTTCTGGAGAAGACTTTACGCAGAGGTCCAACTCTCCCATCATCACTACAAGATCTTGGTGAGAAATGTAACACTGAACGGAAAAAGTTTGACGTTGCATAAGTTTATTGAAACGATTCCACTGCGAATGCGTGTCGTAATCAAAGCTAAAGATGGTCCAACAGAATATCAGAGCGTGTGACCTTTTTTTGGCCAGGCAGTGTATTTAGATAGGTATAAACAACATGTAGGGCAAATGGTTATGGGGAAAAAGATACATGCTGAACAGTTTTTATGAAACGTTGGGGTCCTGGTAGTTTTATCATGACCACATGGGCCTAGTAGCAGTTGTTTCCTCTGTTTCACCTAGTTACATTTTGGATGATAAATTTGATATAATTAAATTACGTGTGAAACAGATTCACACTCAGAAAATGTAATTTCACTACATTAATGTGCTTCATTTGTTCTTTTCAGGGTTTACATTTATTCAGCATCCAATTCTCATGTTTGAGGGAGATGTAAAAAACTTGTACAATAATATCCTGTCTGACAAAGGCAGCTCTGTAAATCTTAAAATCCAAGTTCTGAAGAATCTCCAGACCTATCTGCAAGAGGAAGACACACGGATGCAGCAAGCAGACAGAGACTGTGAGTAATCCCTGACCGGTCTGTGATGTTGCTACTAAAGAGATAATGAGAATATAGCACTAGGTCTCCCAAAGCTGCATGAGGCTGGCGTAGGTGCCTTTTGTAACAACTTGTCTCCTCTTATTTCAGGGAAAAAAGTTTCCAAGCAGGAAGATCTGAAAGAGATGGGAGATATTTCCTCAGGGATGAGCAGCTCCATTATGCAGCTTTACCTCAAACAGGTCTTGGAGTCCTTCTTTCACAAGCAGTCTAGTGTACGGCACTTTGCTCTCAATGTCATCGCCTTGACTCTCAACCAGGGTCTCATTCATCCTGTGCAGGTGAGATTTGACATTAACTTTATTTAACAGATATGAGGCATAAGGCGTGTTGCACGCAGCATTCTCTTTTAGCCGTGCAGATTGTCTTGTGCGGTCAGGCTGGCTGGATGTTGCGGGGTGAGTGTCACAGTGCTTGTATTTTCCAGTTTAATCATTCGGTTGCCAAAGTCAAACAGAGATGTCATCGCTATTCATTTATCTCTATTGTCTATTGATGGGCACAGCTTCATAGTAGCAAAACCTAGGGTTATACTGCAGTCTACAGGAGGAATGGATGCTAGGCACATAGAAAACTGAGGGCCTGCCCTTTTAAAGTGAAACCAAACTCACCGGTCAGAGAACTATGGGGTAAGTGTTTTTCCCCATAGTTCTCTTTCCGGTCACGGGAGGACATACTGTATACTAACCTCCTCCCGTGACCCAAAGCTTAGTATATAGCGGGCTATTGCCCCATAATGGGCGTGGGGAGTGGTAACTGACAGTTACTGCTCTCTGCAGGGAGATGATCAGAAAGTGAGCAAGCAACGGTATGTGTTCACTCACCTCATAGTTCTCCTTTAAATCTTAACAATTAAAGAACCTTAACTATTAACAATAATGTATCTTATTTGTGTATCACTCGGCTGTAGATCCTCAAAGCAGCTCTGAATTGGTGCTGACACTGTCCTTCCTTCTGGAGGGGGACTACTTTTGTTCCCCATGGTCCCTGTGTGTGTTGTAAAGTAGCCACCGCTTCAAGCTCACTCCCATGATAGACTACAATCTCACATTTACTTTACTCATTTGTATTGAGATTGTAGTCTATCCCAGGAGTGAGTTTGGAGCGGTGACTACTTTACAACACGCGGGGAGCATGGTGAACAAAAAGTAGCCCCCCTCCAGGAAGGACAGTGTCTGCTCCAACTCAGAGATGATTGGAGGATCTACTGTCGAGTGACAAACAAATAAGGTACATTCTTGTTACTAGTTAAGGTACTTGTACAATGTAATTTTAAGATTTAGCTCACTTTAAGGCTATAACCTCTCCCACCCAGCACCTGCTTGGCTTATATCCAATCTCCAGTGGGCACTGATTTCTTCATTTTTTTTTTTTTTTTTAGTTCATTTTGGAAGATTTTTAAACTTTCTTACTAGCCAAAGAGTGAAGGTTTTCCCAATTCCTTTAATATACTGATGTTCGCTGTGCAACAGCTTTGAATTCATGGAAGTTACTCCAGTCAGCCATGAAGTGCAGTTTTTCCCAGTTCTTCAAATGTACTGGTGCTCTCTCTGCGATGGTCATGCACAGGGCAGTGGGTACGACTCTGTTTCAGTTATCACAACACCACTTTTAGGTCAGGCCAGTATGTCTGAGGATTCCTTTTGTAGGTATCGGGCTGCAGCAATGTTCCTGTTTCCGTCTATGAACACTCACTGTTAGCATGCTTTATGCTGAGTTTTTTTCTTTTTAAATTCTCCTTTTGCTATGGTGCTACCTTATAAAACAAAGAAGAAAAAAGAACAGCGCCTTTTCCTTGTGAAATACTGTTTTATTAGTCCCAAAAATAAAAAAAAACTGAATGAATCATACTCGCAAACGGTGTCTTTAGCAAAGCATTTCAAATTGACAAACATGCTGGCATGTAGCAATCGGCAACCGCAAAGTGGGCCACAATCTTTGTCCTGCTGATGGTCACGTCCTTTCCTTCCAATGTTTCCTGATGGTCTACATATACCAAATGTTTGTACTAAGGAAGCATAGAGGCTCATTGTTCAATTCTCCTTTTGAAAAGGTCACAGACCTGGAACAATATGGAGATCAGGAGTTGTAACTTCACTATGATGTTCCTGACATGCTTATTCTGAGTCGGTAACACCAAAAGTATTGAAAAGAGAAGCAGCCAGCAAGATAGCTGAAGGAAGTTGATGGTGGCCACCTATATTTTTCTCTATCCTTTAAAGTTGACATAGTATCATATCTGTTTTTTTCCATGTTAAATGCACCTATTGTAAGTAATGTGTTAGTGTAGCATTACAGGTATTTATTAATGCTCACAAAGATCACAGAATTCCCTCTGACAATTCATCTTCCATTCTCCCCCAAAAAATGCAGTTTTTGTTAAGGTGTCGTCAGTTTATTTACAGGTGAAACTCGAATAATGAGAATATGGTGCAAAAGTTCATTTATTTCACTAATGCAACTTAAAAGGTGAAACTAATATATGAGATAGACTCATTACATGCAAAGCAAGATAGTTCAAGCCGTGATTTGTCATAATTGTGATGATTATGGCTTACAGCTCATGAAAACCCCAAATCCACAATCTCAGAAAATGAGAATATTACATGCAATCAATAAAACAAGGATTGTACATAGAACAATATCGGACCTCTGAGAAGTATAAGCATGTATATGTACTCAGTACTTGGCACTCCTATTATTAGTTTCCCCTTTTAAGTTGCATTAGTGAAATAATTAAACTTTTGCACGATATTCTAATTATTCGAGTTTCACCTGTACTTCTGGACTAAGATGTTGTTCTGGAGATGGGTCGTACACATGCACAGTAGTTATAATATTTGTGTAGAAATATCTTGTATAGGTTCAGGCCCCTGGTGCTGCCTCTCACTTAGTGTGCAGTGAGGACTGACAGAGGGGAGATTTGGTTGCCTTTTTTCCTGCCTGTGACGACATAATTTTCCCAGATTGCAATTCTCAAACCTAGTTACATTTTCTTCATAGACAGTGAAATTAACGTCAGTATGGTCCATTGACATTAAAGCATGAGGTCCCACATTTCCAAATTGTTTTTGTTTTCTCTTGACCTTTCATTTTTGTTCCATTCTTAGTGTGTGCCATACCTAATTGCAATGGGCACAGACCCGGAGCCGTCCATGCGGAACAAATCGGATCAGCAGCTGATAGAGATTGACAAGAAATACACTGGATTCATTCACGTGAGTGCAGAACATGTAACTGCCATGTGATGTAATTTAGCTGTGTAATTGGCTGCTCCATAATACTCTTCCTTCCCTGTTACAGATGAAAGCGGTGGCTGGCATAAAGATGTCATACCAGGTCCAGCAAGCAATCATTTCTGATGCAAAGCGCATAGTGCGTGGGTTCCGGCAGGATGAGTCCAACAGTGCCCTGTGCTCCCATCTCTATTCAATGATTCGGGGGAACCGACAGCACAGACGGGCTTTCCTGATCTCATTGCTCAACCTCTTTGATGATGCTGCGGTATGCAAAACAACCTTTACTCTTAAATTGGGTGCCATGTTATAGAGGGAAATCTCTGGTCTTTTTTTCTGAGATTGTTTTGTGAATATGTCCAGCTTATTGTAGGTAATTCCTTCAGAATATGTTTGACTTAAAAACCTTGTTGCTGTTTCTACTTTATGTACTTGCGGGTTGCCACATGGCCATTACAAACGTTTGTGGGTTTCCTCCTTAGTGCAGCACATTGATTGGGTCTTGATACTTCTGCATTCTGAGTTCAAGGCTCTGAGCTCAGACTGGCTGTAAAACTGACTTACACTGTAGTGTAAGCTGCAGTTCTGCATCGATGTGGTACACTGCCTGACATATAAGAAGCTGCTGGCAGAATAGTGTAGCAGTGTGCACATTAAATGTGTACAGGTTCTGTAGGATAATTATGTATAGATGAAGGAACATGCTATTTGTACCACATGATTTCCAGTAAAAAGAATGAATGGTAAAATAAAGTCATGAAAGTACAGTGCAGGTAAAAAGTTGAGTCTTTGTTAGTGAAGATATACAAGCTGCTTTCAGGACCTGAAGTTCGGGTTGAAACACTGAACAGGTTAACTATTATCTAAAGCCAAATCCCATTTTTTTATTATAGAGAATGATTAGAACCCATGTCAGTGTTTAATGGCTGCGTTTTTCACTGTCTCTGGGACTAAAAGTGAGGAAAATTCAGAACTTGAACAACATAATTTACCTTACTTCTGGAGCGCCATATATAAATAGTGCAGTGTTTACAGCCTGTGTGCAAGCTGTCATTAGACATTATGGATGACAGGCAAAATGTACAGAGCCATTCAGAGTGGCTCTGTAGGTTGTGATTGCTGCAATGGTTTATGACAGTGATCGCAAATGTAAACATTACCTGTGTTTATGCATGAGAGCATAGGAAATAAATAAAGTGGATCTTTACCCCCTTTTAGTAAAAATCACAGCAGAATACAGCTGCAAGCCGATTTAAAATAGTCTTACATTCATTAGTTCAACAAACTTGTTTTTCATATACTTGCAAATAGAGTTCATCTACTTCCTTGTCCAGTTTTGGCACAAATGATGTAAAGTGCCAAAGTGTTGCATCTTGGGAAGGTTACATCAGCAGAGCATTGCTGCGAAATCTCATCTCAGGGAAAAGTATTTTCTTCCCCTGAGAGGATGTGCATGGTCACATGTCCCAGTCACATGTCTAGTCATATGTGCAAGAAATCATGAAGTAAAGAGAGTAGTAATCTGCCCTTGTTAGAAGACTGGGGATGAAAAGAGAAATAAGGTATGCAAAGAATACAAGCCGCCAATTATCTAGAAGTATGTGTGTGTAGATTGTCATTACTAAACATTTCTAAAGGTGTGTTTGTTGTTATTTTAAAGATATGGGTAAAGGTCCGCTTTATTCCTATTCTCAATGCCATCCAGTGGCCATAATGCAGTATTACGATACATTTAACATAAAAAAAATATCAGTTGTCTTGCCTCTTGCACAGAATGAACGCAAAGATTCACAGGGCGAATGGCTCTGAATTATTCCTATACAGGCATCTATGTATTTGATCTTTTTATAACAAAAATATATAATTAAAAAAATATCATTTGGGTAGGCTATTGGATGGAAACAGAGAAATGGCCTGTTAATGAAGGGTATTGCAGGCTGATACAAAAGTGCTTACAGGGACCCTTGTTTTGTTTACAGCTGTCTTAAGAAGGGATTCTCTCGCTTTAGAGACTGAATTCTGTTTTGGCTTGACATAATCTCTGGTACAGTTTTTTGTTATGCTCCAATGAAGACTTAAATAACTTTTGCAAGCTTGTTATTTGAACATCTAGAAAGCCGCCTGCCCCAATTAGAACATGTGTAAATGTAATAATTGGGAGCTCTATATACAACCGGCAATCTTTGGTATTTTTTATGAGTAAATGGCTTCTAAACTTTTAGAACAGAAATAGAATTCCTAAATATTCTCTAATCCTTCAGAAAGCTGAGCCCAACAGAACAGAATTGTTTAGCAAATAACAGCCATATTGAATAAAAAAAAAAGGTAATTACATATGTGTGTATTTAATCTGTTTTGTTTTTCCCTTTAGAAAACGGAAGTTAATATGCTTGTGTATATAGCCGACAATCTAGCTGCATTTCCATATCAAACTCAAGAGGAGCCACTGTTCATTATGCACCACATAGACATTACATTATCGGTATCGGGTAGTAATCTCCTACAGTCATTCAGAGAGGTGAGTGGTTAACCCTGGGGATTGTTTTGTACATTTTTAAAGGCTCAATACCAATACTACTTAAAGTGTATCCATAGCCTCAGCTTTTTTATGTAGTGGATTTAATTTGGAAGGATTAGAACACCTGTGAAGTTTTAACAGCTATCCATGATTTTCTGCCTGGAAAAGAGGTTGCCCCAACGACAGGAAGTGAGGGGAAATCTCTCTAACAGCCACAAAGAAGTAAAAATGCTTTTCTTTTGCTATTATTTTTCTCTTCCCCCCCCCCTCAACACTCTTCTCTACATCGCTGCCAGAGTTGGTCTCCAACTGCAGCTATCCGGTGCGGCCTTTCCTCTCCTGGCTTTGGAGTGCCGAACTTGGACTTGGATGTTTTGGGGCTAGCTTGAAAGTGACCTTCTGCATTGGGTTCTGCCTAAGTTACTTTTCAGACCCTGTTGCAGTAACAGCTACAAAGCATTTTCCAAGTCCAGAGCCGTTGGCATTGCCTCAGTGCTTGCCCTGTCTCTGATGAGGCACTCTGCAAGTAGGCCAGGCAGACTGACCACCCAGAGCGACCTTGTTAGTAGGATCAATGGGATGCTTTTAAAATGTATGCTCTTCCAGTTTCCACCGCTGTAAGGATTCATGTTGGGGAACTAAGCACTGAGGTTGTCTTTTCGGTGTAAGTGTCATACTCCACGCTCTTTCCTGCCATTCAGCAGAGATGAAACATTTCCCCGCTGCTGCTCCTGCTTTGTGAGAAGCCACATGGATATTCATCCCATTCCTGCTGCCCACCTCCAGTGACCACTTACAGCCATCTGACTCTCGCCTGCTGCCAGCGTTGGGTTTTGTGAGTAATTGAGGCCTTGCTTCCTATCCTGAGTTATGCTATTTCACTGCCATTGGGTTGCAACATTTGCTGATTTTAAATGCTGGTGGGAGGGTCCCACCCCAGCTTACTCTTAACTGCTACAGTCCAGCTTGCAGCATGGCCACTGATGCGGTCGAAGTCTGCATTCTGGAATCATGTCCTCTGCTCCTAGAGTGTGCCATTTTCAGAGCCTTCCCCAGCTCCGTTGGCATGGCCACCTCCTCTTACCTTGTCAAGTCATGTATGACTTCATGGCCCAAATCACCTATCTATTTGCTGACTCTAAATGCTGAGGCTACAAGTGAGCACCTGTGCCTTTTCCAGCAGCTTCTGTATCTTAACTAACTGTGGCTTCTAAGCAATCAGCCACTAGGACTCTGTCTGAGTCCCCTACTGGATGAACTTGCCTTTGAGGAGTTGCAGTTTTCTGCTATTATTTCCAAAGTTCAGCTCTTATTGACGTGGTGCGTACCACTTAGAAATTAAAGGGTCAACCTGTTGCTTCCACCAGCTATGCTCCTAGTTTGAAGCCGTTTAAAGCTACTCTGACACTCTACTTTTCCATGAGAGTCGAGTCCTGGGTCTGATGGTTGCCTCTTATGTTGCAGCCCCATTTGACACATTCTGTCATTGTGGGACAAGAATATTTGGTCCCTGGGCATATCAGTTTGTCTGGCACCAAGGACCAGGTTGTCCCTGGCTTGGTGGCTCAGGAAATCCGCTCTAGGGTTTGGGAACTCATTCCTTCCTTTTGGAAGAATCTCATAACGATGCCAGCCTGTTGAGTACTGAGGACCCTTTCGGTGTAGGGGGACTTGGTTGTCAGAGGAACCTCGTCTTCTGATCAACATTTTGGAGCTTAAGGTGATTTAGTTGTCTCTGCAGCTCTGGACTATCTGGCTGGAGTGTCATCCACAACACCATGGCAGTGATGTACAGAAACAATCGGGGAGGAACCAAAAATCATGCTGCGGCAATAAATCTAGATCATGTCCTATTTTGGGCAGGACTTGACGTTCCAGCTTGTCTGCTGTTTACATCGCAGACTTAGATGATGCACACAGACTTCCTCAGTGGGCTGGGTCTAGACCCAGAGGAGTTGTGCCTATAACAAGGTGATCCAGGACCTTTGTAACAGGCTGGGGACGCTGGATGTGGACCTCCTAGCCACCAGGTTTAACAACAACACTGTATAGGTTTGTATCCAGGTAAAAGGATCCTCTAGCGGAAGCAGTAGATGCTCTGGTGGCTCCATGGGATCACTACATCCTGATCTGTATTTATCCTCCCCTGAAAATGGAGGGCAATTCCAGTGATCCTCTGGGCTGGCCCAGGTGGATGTGGTGTTTCAAATCCTGGCAAATTCTCCATGGGCTCTTAAAGATTATCCGGATCTTCTGCCTGAAGGACCAGTTTACAATCCTGCTTCACAGTCATTGGCTGTAACAGCATAGCTGTTGAGGTCTAGGTTCTGAGAGACAGGCATTTCTGAATCGGTTATTCCCACAAAGCTAAAGGCAAAGATGTCTATACTTCTCACAAGGTCTGTCATCATACATGGAATGCGTTTAGTTCACTTGGTGTTAATCTTGATGTTTCCACCCTTGGAGATTCCCATCTAATGAATGTTCTCCTTCCTACAGCTAGGTCTCAACCAGGCTTTGGCTGCTAGCTCTGTTAAAGGGATCTTGTTTCAGAGACCTTTTGCTTTCATCTCTTGATTAAGACCTTTGTTCACTTTGTCTCCAATGTGACTCCATCTGTTTGTTCACCTGTGATTGCAGAATTAAAATCTTGTTCTCTCAAGACGTTAAAAATGTTATTTGATCCTATAAGGGAGTGGTGTTTTGTAGCCATCACCTCTGCAGGACTTTAACCTGTAAACAATCGTTTCTTGTCTTGCAAGGACAAGGTGGTGTTGATGTCCAAAACTTCTTTCCCATCCAAGATAGTTTCGGCTTTTCTTCCCAACCAGGACTTCATTCTTCCTTCCCTCTGTCTGGCTCCACTTCATCAAAAGGAGATTTTCTTCTATTACTTGGATGTAGTTCAGGTTGTGAGTCTGTCTCTTAACTACAACATCGTTCAGACTGATTCTTTGTCCTCCCTGATGGTCCCTTTAAGTGTGAACCAGCTGCCTGTTTCACCATCTCTAGGTGGCTTAGCAGACCTTTTTCTCTCTCGTCCATTGAGGGACACGGCTCTGTAGAATTCTGAGACCTAATGCTAAGCTGCTGCCTCTAGGAGAAATGGACTCCAGGCATACCAATTAAAAGCCTGTCACTTTAAGGGCATAACCCCCCTGTCCCCCCCAACCTCATCTCACACCTGCCAGTTTTGCTTAGTGTCCTCAGGAGATTGGATGTCTCCTTCTCTTCATTGAAGATTCTGCTACCAAGAGCAGCTAGTTGATTCATGCTGGATAATATTAAATCCTGGGAGTCTCTAGCTAGCTGACAAAACTGAGAGATTCATGCCGGATAACTTAAGTTTCCCTAGTTGTCATGAATCAGGTTGTTTCTGGTCTCAGTACTTATGCCTTCATCCAGCGGTGGACCTGTTTTCCTGTCTTCATCATTTAAAGGTCAGGCCAGTGTTTACTTGGGGATACCTGTTATGCCGGGAACAGGGCCATGGAGTCGTAAAAAAAAAATGTATTTATCTCATAAGAGGTTTTCCTATGGTGACCTGTGCTTGTTATACTTTGTTTTTCACTAGTTAGCCACATGGTGCTAACAGCGTACAGCATCCTATTTAAGTAAACTAGGAGAATGCTAGAACCCCTGCCAGCTTTATGTTCTCCTGTTCCAGAGGGCCTCAACTAGCAGTGAAATAAGTTCTAATTAGAGATGCACCAATACCAATTTTTCTAGACAGAGCACTGATACTTTTACTCAAAGTACTCACCGATACCGATTTACTGATGCCTGTTTTTTTGTGTGTCATGTGACCGTTTTTCTGAACAATACAGACTAATGATTTTAGGAGAGTGGTGGAGCGCCAGGGCCCAGACGCAGCTGCAACCGCTGTGACCCTGGTAGTTCTGCCACTGACTCCAAGCTGTAGAGGGACTAAAAATTCCAGCAATACGTTATATAGCAATGCAGAATACCACCAGCTATAGAGGACTACAAATCCCAGTAATACATTATACATTAATGCAGAATAATATGATTCTACATCCCCGCTCGGAGCGCCGCACACCGGAGCAGCAGTGACGCGACGCTCGGCGAGGTAAGTAAGAAGACGCGCTGGCGCTGACTCGAGTATAAGCCGAGGGGGGCACTTTTCACCCAAAAAAATGGGCTGAAAATCTCGGCTTATACTCGAGTATATACGGTACTCTGTTTTGCTCTCCAGGGCTGCGTGGGGGCGGGACTCCCCAGTGCTATGCCGGGTCTCACCATGGAGGAGGAGATGTACGGCTGGACCGGCACTGTAAACAGGTGCCATGAGGTCCCCAGCAAGCATGGGACCTTACGGCAGCCGCTCGTCTTTAAAATATTTAAAGGGCTAATATCGGGGCATTTTCACGAGTACGCCTTAAAATGCCAAGTAACAGTATCTGTGTATCCCTAGTTCTAACTCTTCCACTTTCTATCCAAAAATTTAAAAAATATTTTCTTTTCATTCTTGAAGGCTGATCCTTCTTAAATAAACTAAACAATATTGTGTCTTTTTTTTTCTCCAGTCGATGGTGAAAGGAGGAAAGCCCAAGAAAAAGGCAAAAGTGGAATCGTCAGAAGAAGGAAGCGGCAGCGAAAGTGAGGAGGAAGTTGTCCGGCCAAGAAAATCAAGGCGGCGAGCGGCAAATTCTGACTCCGATGACGAGGATGACGTAGATAACGTTCTCAGCTGCCTGCCAGATAATTCTGCTCCTCTCATCGAGTTTGCAAATGCTTCACAAGGAATCCTTTTACTTTTGATGTTGAAGCAGCATTTAAAAAACCTCTGTGGATTTTCCGACAGGTATTCACAGTGCCGAGCAATTACAGTTCTGGTCTCTAGTAATTTTATGTTCATAGGGCAGCTCCTTTCCTTACTGTTTGCCTTTACATTTACCTTTGGTTACCTGTGTTCATGGTCTCCTATCTCATTAACTTTCAGATTTGTATATCTTTGTGCAAATAGATATAATAAATACATATTCATTGTTCCATATTCCCATTGAGATTCTAGAGCAAGCATGTAGTGGGAGTGGCTATTCCTTCAGTTGATTAGAAAAAAGGTTTTTGTAATAAAAGGTGGCAAATACATAGAATTGCAGGATAAGAGGCTTCCGTTCCACTTTAATATAGTCATGTATTTATTAAACCAATGTACAGTAAACTCCCCATTATCCGGCATCCAAGCAACCATAACTCTCAAGCAACAAGAAGAAAAAAAATCGAAGACATAGGTCCTCAATTTGTTTTTGCCAGTTGCTTGATTGATATTTGCACACCTAAAATATTGTTAGCAACTACATTTATTTAGTTGCTAACGAAATTCTCTGTTTGCATCCTGTTGCGGCCAACAGCTAGATTCCTCAGCTGGCAGGTGCATGTAAACAACGGGCAGTGAGCATGTGCAAAAGCCAGAGTGCTATTGGCTTTTTTTGGCTATGGCAATTTAAAATGGCCAATAGCAGAATCTAGCCAGCACATGAATGGGGCGGGAGCGGTGTTGCTTGAGAGTAACTCTCAAGCAACCAAAAACTACGGTTATCCGGCAACTACCAATCCCCATGGGTACTGGATAACTGGGAGTTTACTGTACATTTATTTTAAAACTTTCCCTGCCAGAGATGTTTTTTGCATTCAGAGACAGGATGGAACATTTTTGTACATATATGGCAGTGAACTGGAAGCTTTGCATCTGCTAGAATTCATTCCACAAGAAATTTGACCGTCTTTAGAAAAAATGTTAACAGACTCTTGGTTGCTTTAGCAGCTAAGAGTCTGTTTACATGTTGTGCCAGTGAAAGGCTTAAATGCAGTTTTTGCACTGAAACCAATGACCTCATTAGCCTGCTGCTGCTCCATCTTCATCCATTGAGCAGACCAGAGAGGTGTGTTGGCCATTCTCGACACAGCTGTGCTTTCATGCAGGTCAGTCATTTGTGCTGGGGAGGGGATCGCAGGTGCTGAATTATAAGATTGCCGAGACTTACAAGACTTGCTGGGAGGTAAACCAGTTCTACCAATGTATTTGAGTACTTTAGCTTAATGTGCAATACTTAAATGGTTTTCTTTGATGAGTTTTAAATATGTATTTGTATTTTGTTACCCAGTAAAATCCAAAAGTATTCACCATCGGAGTCAGCAAAAATATATGACAAGACTATCAACAGGAAAACAGGGTTCCTCTTTAGCCCCAGGCAAACGCTGGAGTTTCTAAAGAGGGACATGAGTTGCACAAAGATTAACGACGACATCAAGAGGAGCATCGCAAAACAATACCTAGATGTAAGATCTGTTTTTCTGATGTTTCAGAATTGGGCTGTTATCTTTATCATGTTACTTTTATGCAGCTGCTGTAACAATTGTTTAGATGTGCTGAAATATGTAAAATATGATGCGGCCGAGATAATGGCTTGTCATGGAGTAACATGATTATTCATTAAATCTGTTCTATTCTAGGGGGTGCTGCAGTCCACTGGTGTATAGGCCCTGCCTACAGGAAGGCAGCATTTAATTACCACTTAGTTTGCCAGTGTCTTGTTGTCCTGTAGACAGCAGTATAACTCTAAAGGTGCCCATACACCTTACGATTATCGGACTAAACTTTTCGTCCGATGATCGAACCGTCGTACGATTTTCGTACGACGGCCCCATCCTGCCCCGATTATCGCAAGGTTCAATCAGCGGTAGTTAGAAAAAAACACCTGGACGACTTGCGGTAATTGACCGCAATTATTTTCGTTTGCGCATGAGCAGTGTTAATCGTACGACATTTGACGGACGGAAACGCCACCGAACATCGTACGATCAACCAAAGTTTTCAAACATGTTTGACCGTCAAAAGTCGTACGATTGTACAGTACTATCGGTCGGGCACTCTATTCACACGTTACGATTGTCGTACGAAAAGTCGATCGCATACGATTATCGTACGATAATCGTAAGGTGTATGGGCACCTTTAGGTAAAAGATGTTTTGTGTCCCTCAATGGACTCCAAGAAAATTATTTTATTTCTTTTTCCTGGAGAGGGTCTTTTGTTTTTTGCTTCATTGTCACAGATCATTATAGCAGGAGCAGCAACCTCAGGTACTGGTTCCCAGTCAAGTGAACATCACACAATCATGGTGATTATTTTGAAACAGGATAAGGTTTCTACTGTAATAATCTTTCCCTACTTTTAGTAATACTGAGTGCTCTATGAAATTCCACTGTAATCTCTGCTGCATTGAGGCAATGGGTCTTAGTAAGGATCTACGTGGAGATTGTCGTCTTTCCTTTTCTCTATTGGCAGCCAGTGACACAAAGCTTTTCATCAACCTGAAAAGTCAGTTATACGTGACCCCAAAATACTTGGTTATAAACTGTGTTAGATCCTTAGAGATGCCTACTCATTGGCTGCTCAGGGCAAATCAACAATGCCTGAATAAAGCTGCCTTCATGACCCTTGGAAACTCCTCTCCACTGATCCCATTAAGCTCCTTCCTCCATCACAGCCAGCGTGAAATATCATGTGTTTCTATGCATAGGGAAACATGTGACCTCCTCCCATAATGCAGTGCTTGGACCATTGACCAATTCTTCTAGAGTTTGTCCTCCCTTCCTCTAGGCTTTAATATCAGTAATGGAAAATAAATTGGTAGAGGAGCACTGGAGAGGTGTGGGTCAGGAAACGGCTTTCACAGACATCGGGGTTGCCTTACTATAAGAGTAGAGCATGCTCAAGATATTTTACTTTGGAAGTTTTCCTCTCAACCACATCCAAGGAGGTTGGTACACTTCCATGGACCGTAAACTTGGAGATGGTCTTAAATCCTTTACGTATGACATGCTGGTCTGTGATTTGTAAGCTCAATTAGCGTAGAGTTTGGGTGAAGATTGGCTATGCAAAGCATGACCAATCACGTGCAAGAAAAATTAAACAGGATTTTCTTCAACAGAAGATTAGCACATCTTCACTTCATACACTGAGCTCAGTGAACCTTCGCTTACAAAATGAGAAGTCCACTTGCAAGGTGAACATGCTCAACTCTATTACTAAATCATCCAGAAATATTTCTTTATATATATCTGGTGGTATTAAATGTATAAGAGTTTCTTTTTTGATGGCATTTAGTTGAATACGCTCTATTTATTTTAGGTTGTGTTTAAAGGTTCATTTGATTGATGGCTTAATCTAATAAATTAAATATATTGTGTTCCCTTTATTTAGCACAGCATAGAGATTGTTTCTGTTGCCTCCTCTTGCTGATGTTCTTTACTTATGTCAGGTCTTCCTTTTCTCTCATCATACTCTCTCATTTTCTAGTTCAAGCTGTTAATGGAACACTTAGACCCTGATGAAGAAGAGGAGGAAGGCGAGGTCTCGGCAAGCACAGATGCCCGAAATAAAGCCATTACCAATTTGCTTGGAGGTAACAGCCCTAAAAATAATGTGCCTGAGACAGAGGAAGAAGAAAGTGATGGGGAGGACAAAGCCGGGGGCACATCAGGGGTAAGTAGCCATGTGTTCACATATCTCCTTATTGTAGGCTAGCAATGTTTAACACTACAGCCACCTTCATCTAGAGTAGCTTGCTAATTTGTGTGTAGTATAGATTGTCCTAATATTGGTTTATCAGAAGTTGGCCATCTGCTCTGTAAATAATGCAAGCCCTGTTATGGCTTTATTAAGGACTATTTGTGTTCTCCATAAGCACCATTCTGATTCAAAGATGTAGTAGAAAGTGAAAGTTTTCATCTTAGCGGTGGCTGTGGTATCTCACTTTCTAAATCTGTACTCAAATGATAACCTAAAGCTTGTTTTGCTGCAATGGATAGAGTAATATTGATCCAGTCTGTGTGTTTTAGAAGAGTATCATAGTTTGAATTGGCTGATCTTCCCTTTCAGCAGCGATCATGTGTATCAATATCTAATCCAGTGACAGCACTGAAGAGATCTTAGAGCATTTATTTGTTTGTTTTAATTCAAGAAAGATGAGCCATTCAGCCCTATCATTGCAATGTGTGTATCCATCTCAGCAACACTTTTAAGCATAATTTGTAACATTTGAGTACAGGTTCACATTATGTTGCTGGAGTTTGCACCATTGTGTGCCCTTCTTGATGTGAATGTGTCATACTGATTTTTAGCATCACTGTATAACATTTGTATGATGATTAATGCTGGGATGGGGATTTGCATGCAGAAAAGTATTTGAATTAATCCTAGCCATTTTGGGTTGCCTTGCTGCTCTGTATCCTGAGTGTATGAGTCTCGGTCTTTAAAAAAAAAAAAAAACCCTTGCTCTTTCCGCTTTGTCCTTCCTACCTCTTGGTCTGTTGCTAGCTTCTTACCTCCTAAGCTATAAGCCTCCTTGCTCCTCTGCCAGCAGCTGCCTGAAAGACCCTTTTGTGTTTTCTCCCTACTAATTGTAGTATGTTGTATGCATGGTCAATGGAGAAGGCTTACATTTACTTCCAAATTACCTCTTACCTGGTTCTCCATGATCAGTTTGAAGCCCCTGTTGCTAGATCGGTCTCTTGGCTGGATACTCTAATAACAGAGGCTGTCATTCCAAACATATCTCTTGCCCACAGCACTGATCAGAATCCAGATTTGGGACTAAAAATCCTATATTTTTTTTTCAAATGAATGGTTTCCATAGCATATTCCTTATGTTGTAGAGAAAGCCCTGCATTGATCACGAGAACAGCCTGTTCCATACCATCGCTTTAGACTGTAGTGTTCTGTGCCATGATTATGTTAGGGTATATGAGAGCTTTCGTGGATGCTTTATTGTAAGCCATATCACTTGTTCTTTGGCTAAGAGGAATAGAACTCTTAACCTCCTCACATGACTGGCAATTCCGAAGCTCCCATTAGCTTAACATTATTTTGTGCTGGAGGGACGTGGATCACGCAACAGTGGCCTACTTTTCTGTAGCACCAAGCCATTTGCCTTCAATGCATCAGGTGTAATGTATTATCAGAATGTAAATGTACACGTTTAAAAGCCAATCATTTGTTTTTTTGTTTTTAATTGCACTGGGAATTTTGTGTTTCCTAATAGTCAAAAAAACAAAAAAAGAAAAGAAAACCCTGATGTATATTTACTGTGTCTGTGTTTTATTAGGAGTGACATGTGATTTCTGATTGTTTGGTCCCTGTGCTGTGGTCTTTTTTTTTTTTAAGTCAGGAGTATTTGATTACATTTTGCTGTGGGGGTAAGAAGCGAATTCTATAGCTAGACTTAACCTTTTATACATCTTTTTTTGTAGAAAGGGTTTAGCGGAAAAGGCAAAAAAAAACGTAGACATTGAGATTTATCCAAAGTAAAAGGTAATTTTAATTTAGATTTCCTCTTTTTCTATTCTGTCCCTATTTTCTTGCTATATAGATATACAGAGATATATATATATATATTTTATTTTTATTTATTTTTTATAACACGTTTATAAATTTTTATTTTTGATGGGATAGCAGTAAAAGTTGGTGGTAAATTGCACGTTTAAAACCTGACGTTCCCTAGGCACTGGTGGTTAAACTGCATCCTGCGGGTTGGATGGTGTCTGTGTGGGCTGTCTCACCATGGTGCCAGGGGCTTACAACTCTGTTTTTGTTGGTTTTTGTTGTTTGTTTTTTTTTCCGCTTTTTTTTTCTTCCAATATTTTTGTCATTGCAGCTAAACCTGCTTTTTCTCTTTCTTCCTTCCATTGCTTCACCCTTCCTGCACAGTTAAGAAAATCAAAAAGATTATCAGACTCTTCAGACGTGGCAGCGCAGATGAATGAAACCGTCGATGTCCAGGATGTCATTGCAATTTGTTGTCCAAAGTACAAGGACCGACCACAAATTGCAAAAGTTGTTCAAAAAACCAGCCACGGATTCAGTGTTCGGTGGATGGCAGGCTCCTACAGTGGCACTTGGGCTGAGGCCAAACGCCGTGACGGACGAAAGCTTGTGCCTTGGGTCGATACTATAAAAGAGTCAGACATCATTTACAAAAAAATTGCTCTAACGAGCGCAAATAAGCTGACTAATAAAGTTGTTCAGACTTTACGATCGCTGTATGCAGCCAAGGACGGAACTTCCAGCTAATAATATGTTTGTATATTTGCAGCCAAATTTACAGGAGAGCAGACAAAAAAAAAACCACAAAAACTTGAATATCAACATTCTGGCAAAAATTTAAAGAAAGAAACGAGAATTAAAAATCAATTTTATGGAGCGTTAAGGATGGAGCTTAGCCGCCTGAAGGAAATGTTTGGTAAACATTGTTGTGGGAGCTTCCTTCGCTGTTGTACAGCAGAAACTTCTCAGTACATTTTTACTCCCACTGTATTATAGTTTAACAAAAATTTGTTTATATCTTGAAAAATACTTTCTGTTTAAAAAAAAACAAACCAACAAAAAAAATTACAAAAAATAAAACAAGTGAATGTTGAAAATTAGTCTGTTAATGTTCTTAATAAAGTGTTCTTGGAGTTTAACCTAGCAGCGGATGGCTTTCTTTAGTTTAGCCCGGTTTCAAGGGAAGTATCACATTTTATTTTATTATTCTTTTTGTTTTTTGGGTTTTTTTTTTTTTTCCCAGGCTGTAAAATGGCAGAATTTCCGGACGTATATAATTTATTCTTTTGGGGTTTAAAAGCATGCAGTATCTATGACCTATCTGCAGGAGTTTTCTTTTTTTGTTTTTTTTTTGTTTTACTTTTGCTTTTAATATTTTATTTTTGTAAATGTAGATTTTGATGTATAAGGTCACCCTGAAAATAATACACGAAAAGGGATCCCGAGAATACCTGCTGGCGACAATACTGCAATAAATTTTTTTACTTCTTTGTTACCTGTCTGTTTCCATTTGAATTTCTTAAATGTAAAGCTGTTTTAAGAACCAATTATATTATTTTGCAGTCTTTTATGTAAAAGTTACGTTTTTGGACGCAAGACATAAAATATTGTTTATACATTTTGTATAGCCTGAAAATAACCGGTATCTTTATTTTCATCCCTTTTTAAAAGGGCATAGACACGATTTAACTCCCGATTTTATTGTATCTTGAAATATTTAGTGTTAACGATATGATTTAGCACTGTGCCAAACGCCTTTTCAAGAATGTTTGATATAAAAAGAAACTAGTTTATTCCTTGTATGTTTGAATTTCTTTCATTTTTTAATCACACAGAATTTGTAAACAATCACCCTGCAAAAGTATAAACTTTATACTTCCTCCTACCGCCTCTTCATGGTCTGCACTTTCTTGAAGCGTAAAGCCGCCCAAAGAAACTTTATATCCAATACACTTTCAGGATTGTCCAATGCCCGTGTACGGTGCCGCCTATCAGTGCTTCCACCCTCCAGCCCTTCCTTAATAAAGGGCACAGAAGTGATATAGGAGCCAGTGGGTGAAACCACAGCATGTGGCGGGCGACTCGGGCATCTGACATGCCCAAAAGTGTAAAAATTATTTGAATGGCTTTGTTCTTGAAAATGCCAAGCTAAGGGGCAGGTGAGTTGTGAAGTTTTTTGTTTCCACTTTTTATTTTAACATCCAAGTTGGGAGTGGAGAGTTTAAAAATGACAGGTACACCAACTTCTGAAATCTTCCTTGGTACATTTTAAAATGTATAAATGGCCTACCGTGTTATGTCAGGACTGCACACACACACGCATATATGTGCTTTTATTCCTGGTAAGATGCTTTCCATCATTGGCTCAGTGGCTGCAATTACAAAAATGCTGGTAAAGTGTGACCTTCTGAAGGTTTACTAATTATATTCAACGTACATATTCTCATAAGCTCCGGGTAAATAACCAAGGAATGAGGGTTCCCAGGATTATTAGATTCTACTAGACACGTCCCCACTGAGTCACCTGGGGATCCTGGCCATCCACTTCGCCTTTGATCTGCAAGACACCTGTTGGTGTGTTGGAAAGTACAAAGGTTTAGGAGTTTTGCCTTGTTTTTTTTATCTGGAGATCTGTGCAGTAGAGCAAGTTTACAGAGCCTAGATATTAACAGTTGCAGAACACTGTAAGCTGTGAAAACAATAGATTAATGAAGTCTCCTCTTTTTATTATGTTTCACAGCTCAGTCACTTAACTCCCACAGTCTGTGTTGCTTTTTATCCCATGCTTCTGTGTGGAGTAGAAACTTAGTTGCAGACTTTAACAGCTCACTCCCTTTCATTCCAGTCCACCCTCTACAAAGGAGATGGACTCTTGATTGACAGCTCTTATCTCGCTGTCTCTGTACTTTCCCAACACAAACACGATCCCCCTTCCATTTCTAGTTCCTGTGCTGATTCCTGTGAGTGTTTGATTTCCTTGTGTCTGGAAAGTGCAGGAACAGTCAGATAAGCTATCACTCATGAGGCCGTCTCCTCTGCAGAGCGGTCGGGGGAATGAAGGAGTGAGCCGTCAGTCTGTATCGGTTTCTACAGAAGCATGGGATAAAGTGCAGCATACGTTGTGGACAAGGTGAGACGACTTTAAATGCCTTTTGTAAAATTTGACTAGTTCAAACCGTAATTGGAGTACATTTCCTGGAGGATGTTCTTTTTAGGTTAGACTCTCGTTTCAATTCAACAACATTACTGTACTACTGTCCAAGTAATTTATCCTCCAAGTACAAAGTGCATCCTTTTTTCAAGTATATGTCCTGATGGGGGGTATTGCCCATTCAAATTTTGATTTCACAAACTGTCTTTGTCAACGGTGTGCATTAAAGCAAAGCTAAAGCAGTGTTTATACAGTATAATATATAGAATAGATGAGGTATATCTAATCCCAAGAACACAATGTCATATTTGGCAGTAAACCAGTCCTTGGAAATGGCGGCTTCATTACTTAAATTTATTTTTCTACACTAAATACATGTATTTTTCATCCACTGAGGATCACAGGATGTCTTCAGTTTATACTGCCACCTACAAGAGGGTTGGACACGGGGAGGGGGGGGGGGGTCTACTGTAGCCAATCCCAGGATAACTTGTCACTTCCAGCATGCTTCAGTGTCTTGCTAGTGTCCTGGGAGGATGGACATTTTCTTAATTCATTCAGTCAAGATAACTCTACATCACGGCTAGAGCTGGTCTTTACAATTGCAGCTATCCCACGCAGCCGCTCCCCAGCTTAGCTTTTAGGGTCTCACAAGTCTGATGGACTGAATGTTGCAGGGCTAGCCTAGAAGTAGAAGTGACCTTCAGGTAAAGGGTTTGGTGGAAGGTAGTTTCCAGACCCGTTCTGGTAACAAGCTGTCTGTGGAACGCTTTCCAGGTCCAGAGCCATTCTCTTTGTTTCAGCACTTGCCCAGACTTCTGATTTATTTGTGAGCAGGCCAGTGGGACTGAGCCAGTTTCTACCATGGAAGGGGTTACCACTTGAGAGCCTGAACAGTGACATCACCCGCTCCAGGCTCTTTCCTGCCATTCATCAAGTTCAGCATCTTCCTACTGCTGTTCCTGCATTGGCAGGAACAGCAGTGGTCCATTCCTACAGCCTGTTTAGTGTCTTTGCTCACCTCCGGCTATCCAACCCTTACTTGCTACCAGCTGTGTTAGCTTCGTGCGTACTTGAGGCCTTGTCTCATACCCAGATTTTAAGTTTCTTACTACTAGGGGGCTGCAAAATATCTAGACAGAGGGTTCCAGGGAATTTTTTTCTATTCCTTCTGCCAATGTCTGCCCTATGCCTATAAGATCTACTTTGTCCTCTGGGTCCTCCCTAGCAGGTTGGGCCCTGTCACTTGGAGTCTCTAATACAGTCGCACAAGACTTTGTGATCCAATTCATCGAGTTTCTGGCTGACTTACCGCAGAGGTTTGAAGCTTGCTTCCGAATCTTTCCCCACAGAGTCTATAGCGGATCTGCCTGCAGCACTATTGGCTTCTGAGCCATTGATCACAGTGACTTTTTCTGACACTGATTTTAAGCCGCTTCAATCTCTGCCTGATGAGATTATGCTTTAAAGAGCCAGTCTTCTGCTCCAGAATTAAGACACCATTTCGGCCCTGATTGCTTCAGTGCATTTTACTCTGGAATCTGGAGGATCAGCCTGCTGGGTCTTTTAGCGCCCCTTTTGCTACAAGCACTGCCAATGAGATACAGCTACTGGCAATAAAATATTTTGCTTTTTCAACTCATGGTGTGCTGGTGACATTTTTCTACTGTTCATATGTGGCGGTGCCATCCGCAGTCATTTCGAGCACCCATCTTCATCAAGTGGGAATCCCGGTAAGGAGTGCGGTATGGTTCCTGTTTCTGTTTATTCAATCTTTTGCTACAAGGACTGTTCCATTGCACCTGGGTTATACTGCCACCTACAGAAAAAAAAATGTACACTTGCAACAAAAGACCCTTTTGTCCTTGGCCAGCAGAAGTTGGGTCACTGCATTTGCATGCTTCCCTCAGGACTTGGTTTCACTAGGCTCTTGTGTTGAGCTCCTTACGGTCTGGTTCAGCTGTCTGCTTGAGACCACCTCTGACCCGTGGGTCATTTTTGTCTTTTTGTCCTCCAGCCTCAGTTAATTCAACAGGCATGCTGGATATTTCTGGTGTAGGTCAGGATCCTGCTGTCAATCTTCTTTTTTTTTTTTTTAAATGTAGACTCTGCCCTCTGTAGGAAAAACCATTCAAACCAATTTCAGTCTATGCCTGTTCTGCCCACATCTGTGAATGTTTTACTCTTTATTGTGGTGATCTGAATTACCCTTTAAATGTGTGGCATCAACAGCTCCTGTTTTGTGATTGTATTTTGTTGAACTCTGGAGTACATATGGGCAAGTGGCTGTAATTTTACATTTTAATGCTTCCCAATTTGGCCGGTCACATAGTTCTGTCTGGTGTGGGCATCCTGGTTATGGTGCTGGACTGCATACTAATGTCAAAAGCATTTGTTTTGCGTAGTCTTCGAGGGATAATGTCTCTTCAGAACATTTCTAGATACTATTTATCTAAGATGTTATTGATGGCAACAGCACCCGTCGTCCTCAGTGGAAGATTCCCAAGGAGCCAGTACCCTAAGTTTTCCCCATCTCTGACTTAAAGAAAAGTTTCTTTGGTTTCTCCACTTCCTCATCGAGCCCCTCCATGCCACATTCTCAGTCCACCCGTAAGGTCTTCCACTCAGTCTTCCAAACCCTCGGACTGTTTGACAGAACTCCTGCATGCTTGTTAAGTTAGGGACTTGTTGCTAGTTTCCTGGGTTCAATATTGATTTAGCCTTTGAGTGGCGTAAGGTTGCAAGTTGTGTGTGACTGAGGCACCGGTCCGAACCTGCTGTACGTCGATAACGTGTGACTATATGCAGGTCCGAGCCGTCACAAGGAGGTGGCAATACCACTCCCAGCCTGACCCTGCACAGAGATTTCCCAGCTCTTGGGACAACAATCGCAGACTGAGAGCGATAGTCACTTGGGTTGGTTAACTCTGCAGTTAACCCTTTACACACAACAGCTGCCACCACGTGTTGTAATGGAAACGCACCGATCTCGGCAAATACTGTGACAGTTGAAAACTTAACGCCTATGATACCGCTGTCCCTTTAGGCAGGAATATGACAGGTGCTTGCTATACATTATCTCTCTTCACGCAGAGGATACATTAAGTTCTTATTTAGAGCGTAGAGATTAGCTTAATGATTTTTAAAATCGTCTTTTAACAAACCTGTATTATAGGTAATGGTGCAGAAAAAAATATACAAAAAAGATGTTAGAGACAGATAACAATAAAAATAGAGTACTTAACAAGTACTGGGTTTTGTAAGTTTTGACAGAGACCAGTTCAATGCAACAGAGGATGGATCTGAATGGCTCTTCAAGTAAGCCTTGCAAAGAACTTTCTGGA